CCCAGGAGGCTGGACCTTCCCTGTTAGGCACCCCTGTAGATACACCTTCGTTCTGCTCCCGTCTGGACCTCACCACTACCACTTCCACGTTCAGAATGTCTCCGACCAACGGCCCTTTATGCCACAGGCAGTATAACTTGTTCACTGATTAGCACTGAGCAATTATCAGGCCACAGCTGAGCATTGTTAGTCCACAGGCTTATGCAGCTATCCCACCCTCTGAAGGCTATTTGCACATCCACAGGAAATTCCTGGAGGCATCAGGCTTTCTCAAGTTTTAGTAATCTGCCAGGCATTGCACTGGATGATTTTACGTATTTTATCTCATTTAAATCTCACAGCAATTCTGTAATAATTATTAATTCCCATTTTGTAGATGGGGTTGCCGAAGCTCAGAGAGCTTAAGAAACTTGCCGAAGGTCACACAGGTAATAATGTGAGCTGGGATTCAAGGTCATTCTGACTGGGTCCAGGACTCCACCGGGGGTAGGGAGAGAGTACTGTCTGCGGCCTGCTTCAATAACTGCAGAGATGTCTACCTGTCTTCTCCTCTTTCCGATAAGCAAGAAAAGGGCAGCACCCTACACAAGGGCAGCACCAACTCCCATTTACCACAATGCCTTTCATAATATTCTAGCATTTTCTGTCGAGGTGTGGTAAGAGAGCAAGAGCTCACAGTCTTGTGGGGCACTGAAGAAGGTTCTAATCCCCAAGAAGGAAAAGTGAAGAGGACTCCGGATCCTGAGCACTGTGAATGAGAGGGTTTTGAAAAGACCCAAGAGGCATCTCTGCCATCGGTCTCAGCCGCTTCATCATGTGGGGGCCTGCGGTGCAAGGGGACCAACGACCACCAGGTGGCAGCAGAGAAGAACAAGTCAGTGGCCGGCCAGGTGCTAAACTCCAATCCCGAGTCTGGGGCACGGGAAGTGCAGAGTCACGCCCAAACGCAAGGCAGGTCTGAACTGGGCCAAAGGGGTAGTGGGTACGGCAACCTTGTAGTAACAGCTCACACCATCGTTAAACTCATTCTGTGCCAAGCAGGTGGTAAGCCTTATCTCCTTTAACTTTTACAACCAATCTAGGGAGCAGGTACTATTAATAACTCTCTTTTTATAGATGCATGCTATGACGGTTCTAAGAGGTTTATGATTTATCCAAGGTCACACAGACCGAAGAGAGGAAGTGCAGGCAGTTTGGACTTTAGAGCCCCAACTGTGAGCCTATTGGCGGTGGTGGTGGGTAGATGTTACACCAGGGAAGAATGTTATGTCAGGGAATAAGAGAAACCACTAGGGGGGTGGGGGTAGGGGGAGGGCAGGTGGAGCCTGGGCTGGGCTGGACTGGCTCTGGGGCAGAGCCTGGGGCCTCGGCCAGTCCAGGGACAGAGAGGCAAAGGGAAAACTGCTGCGGGCACTTTCAGGAAACGGGATGTGTAGGATTTTGAGGCTGAGGGTCCCTGGTGACTTATTTAAAGAAGCCACCCCAGCTCTTCCTGGGTGCTTCACCCTAACAGGACTGGGTACCCCAGAGGCTGCAAAACCACTCAAAGACCTAAAGAGATGCCCCTGTGAGATCTGATCCGGGCTCCCTTGCTGAGCTCCAAAAAGCAAAGTAGCTGGAGGGGAAGTGCCAAGACAGGTCACAGTATCCCCAGTGCGCTGGGCCTGGCCCCAGAGCCTCTTCTTGGGGAGTGGACAATGCCAGCTGCCTTGCAGCTTCCACCCTGGAACGGTGCCCGGGCACACTCAGGGCCCCCGGATTAGCTCACATCACTGAGGGACTTGAGCGAGACCCAGGAGCTTCACTTTGCCTGGAGATCCAGGTCAGTACCTTCTTCCTCTCTGGTCTGGCTGCTCATCATCCAGGGGGCCACGTTAGTGGCACATTTCAGTCTCTAGGCTCAGAACTGCATCCTTTAGTTAACATGTCTTGTAGGATTCTAGAACAGAAAAATGACATAGGTAAAAAAACTAAGGGTATCTGAGTAAGATCTGGCTTTAGTTACTGGTTCATTATTGTAACTAATTTAAGATATTAATAATAGGGGAACTGGGTGTGGGTTATCTATTATCTTCATATTTTTCTGTAAATCTAAGGCTGTTCTAAAAAATAAAGTATACATTAAAAATTTTTTTAAAAAGTAAATAAAAGAACTGAGTCTTTCTTTCTAGACTAGCACCCACCACTAGGCCTTCCTAGGAGTTATTGGGCATAAACCTGAGCCTCAGGTTAAAGTTGCTCTCCTCAAATCCCTTGACACCAAAGGCTTGTATCCTTCCTGATTTTCTTATGAAATCTCCTAAATCAGCCTCAGTTCTGGGAATCCAGACTAAGTCACATTCTTTCTCTGCTGCGGGGCCTTTGCACTGGTTCTTCTCTATGAAACACTCTCCAACCATCTTTGAATGGCTGACTCCTTGTCACTCAGATCTGTTTGCATTTTCTCTCCTTTTTAGAAAGGAGAGAAGGATCTCACCTAATAAAGATCAACCTCACTCATGCTGTTTCATTTCTCCCATGCCATTTCCACTGATGATTATCCAGTGCCGATAATGCCCTCACACAAGACAGTCCAGTGGGAACTGGAAAGAACTATAAGATTTGCAAGGTGGGGAAAGGGACCTCATGTTGTAGTTGTGTTAGTTGATCAGTCATGTCCCAACTCTTTGCGACTCCATGGACTGTAGCCCACCAGGCTCTTCTGTCCATGGATATTCTCCAGGCAAGAATACTGGAGTGGGTTGCCATTCCATTCTCCAAGAGATCTTCCCAACCCAGGGACTGAACTCAGGTCCCCTGCATTGCAGGCAAATTCTTTCCCATCTGAACTACCAAGGAAGCCGTAAAGGGCAACTTTAGTGGTCATTTAATCTAAGTCCTTGGCTGATGAGAACTCTCACATTCCTTAATTCTGGTGGGTGTTTTTGTTTAGTTTTTGCTTGTTTACAATGGTTACAGAGAGCTGGTGAGCAATGATAATTCTGTCCCACTGAAATGCTTCTGGGCTATACACATTTGACTCTCAGAGCAGGCTATGTATATTGAATTAGCCCTGGTTTCAATTAAATTCTAGGTAGGTCATATCCACCTTCAAAGAGGAAATTTTCTCTGCTCCTTGCCAGTGCAAGAAACCCATTCTTCCCAGGGGACAGTCATCTTGGGGGGTGTCACAAAAAACCTGGGAGTTTGGCTCAGGAAGTTTCAGGGATCCTCTAATTCCTCCTCTTGATCAGGAGGTCGTGCTCCTAGATGACCTTCTGGCCTGAGACTAAAGGGTCACCCACACTTTGAGGTGAAGATGAGGGAGGGTAGAGGGTGCCCCGTTATGACTGAATTTCAAGTAAATGGCAAATAATTTTTTGCACTAAAAGTATTTCATGGGACACAGTTACACTAAAATCTATTCACTGCTTATCTGAAATTCAAATGTAACTGGAAAGCCTATATTTTATCTGGCAATCCTACAGAGGGATCAGCATTAAAACTAATGACTTCCCTAAGATGAAACTCTGGGATTAAGGGGAAAAAGAGGCCACAGTGAGCCATGACTTTTTGAGGAGAGGAATGAAGTTGGTTTCTTTCATGCTAATTAAGCAATCACAAACGACCCCATCAGAAATCCAAACTCGTGATTAACATGGGACTCAAGACCAGGGGAAAAAAAAAATCAAAAAGGTTAAGAGCCAGAGAAGCAAATCTTCACACAAACGGCAGCCAGCAGACGGAGTTGGTCCCAGGCAGGCAGGTAAGAGCAAAGCCTTTTCACCCACTCTTTCAGAACAGAACAGGGTTCCAGTGGACCCCTGCAGCCTCCCTGATACCTGGAAGTCGGCAGAATTCTCCTCAATATTCAGAATTCTCCGACTTGTGAGGGTTCACAAAATCTCTTCCTAGGTCCTACCTCTAGACTGTCCATAAGCAAAGCAGAGAAGCAGGAAAAGCAGTTATTCAGGCTGTAACTGGCTCATGAACAGCTGTGTCTAGCCCCCTGAAGAACCACTTTTCTTGGCTCAGGTAGGATGACGTACATTTGCTGTCCCCCAACTGTTTGCCAAGGCTCGAAACTGGAGGTATAGATTTACAGAAAACAAAATGCAGAATTCGTTTTGTGTCTGCCATTTTGAGCAGAGTTCATCCCCACATTATTCACCTGAGATGATCAGTAAGGTCAAGTGTGACTTCTTTACAACTGGGAAGCGCAAATTACACATGAAACGCTCCAAGGAAAGGGCTCATGGGGTGAACGCTCCACTCCCCTGTCTCACTTCTCTTCAGCTGTTTTAAACGGGCTCATTAATATAACTCTCTGGGGATCAGACCTATGCAATTCACGAGAACAATAAAAGGAATGAAAAACACACAATAGCAAGGAGAGAAGAGAAATCATTGTTGGTTTTTAATAAGCACACTCTAATGATGACCACTGAAGTTCATGGGGTTTTTGTTTGTTTGTTTGTATCATAGTTTAAAATTTCATATTTTGGGGACAGTTTCCTTTGTTGGAAAATGGGCTTGAAGGAATCTGTGCTAAGGCACATGTACATTATATCATCATAGCCTTTTATTTGTCCAAGGATTGATATAAAATAATACCTCTGGAGAGAAATAACTCCTCTTATTAATCTGTCTTGAGCCAGGGGAAGTAAGCAATGAATAAAAATGCTTTTTGTTTGTTTCTCTACAAGTTTATGGTATAGGTTAAATTAAAGGTCAAATCACAGCTCAGTTTGAAAGTTTTTTTCCTTTTGTTTGTGGTTTCTTCTTTGAACTTAAATTCCAGTTGGTAGAAAGGGGTTAAAAACCTGAGCAATTCCCACTTTATATCTGCAAAAGAAACAAGTACAAGTCCTCTCACAGAGAGAAAACAGGGTTTGGATGTCATTTTTTGTCACCTAGCGAGAATGTCTTTGTGGGTGTTTTTGAGATGGTGAACACTCTGGATGCATGAAATGACACCTGTGTGCCTCTGCTGCTAGGCGTCCGTGGCCTGACCCTACAAGATGCCAAGAGAAGAGGCTCACTTCTTCTATGGTTCCCCCCGGAAAGGGCACAGCCACTCTTATGTCACGGCTGAAGAGTAAGTTCAAAACCAGACCCAGCGGGGATACAGTTTGCCGTTTGCTGACACAGCCTCTGGCTTCCACCAGCACATGTCTGTCCGTAAATCTCTCTAGTGTTTATTTCTCCAGAAATAAACCTGGCAATGAGGTAAGGAGACCCTGAGGTCCTACAAAAGGTCTCAGGTTTCTCTGAGGCCAAAGAGGCAAAGAGGGAGGGAAGGTAAAAACCTGGATCTTGCCATTTTTGTTTGCATTCTTGGCTATGAGGCCTTTACCGTGGGTTCCCAGGCTGAAAAACACCTGTCTGAGAGCATGATGCCTCTGTCCTCAAGCCTTGCCTGTCTACTCCACTCAGACTCCCAGAGGTGGTTTGCAGATAGAACAGAGGCAAGTTGCTAAAGGACAGTGAGGTTGAAGGGCAGGTGTGTCCCTCCACCTGCTAACTGAGTCCAAGGTGAAGAGGCTGGTCTTAATCTTTGCATCAGTGCTTTACCCTAAGAAAGGTGTTTTGTATTATGAATTATTTTAAAATAAGTCTTTGCATGATTAAATATTTCTGAGTGCTAAGCAGTGTACACGAGCTCAAGATGCTATTCTCTCCTTTGAAGAAAATCTTACAACCTACTGGGAGAGTTAGGCATGGGAGTAATTTCATCAGGTATAAGTGCTGTGATGGGAACACAGGCCACAGGACATACTCTGCAAGGACGAGAGTGGGCAAGGGGTGGTGGCGGTGGGAGGGGCCCCTCCCTGAGTGGAGACTCCAACAGGACAAATGAGCGATCTGGGTTTTGTTTGGACCGTCTCTTAAGTGATCTGCTCAGAACTTCCCGCAAACCTGCTGTCTTGGGAGAGAACTGTTGAATTACTTTACTGGAGTGAATTTGCAGGGGCAAGAGAGATGGAGAACCTGTCAAAGGCACTGAGGAGGAATTCAGGCTGGAGCATTTCTTCAGAAGACCCTAGTGGGATTCTCTAATACCCCTGCATGGTGAAATGGGATGTGGTGGTGAGATCTTCTGAAAAAATGTCCCAAGAGCAAAAATATACTCTTGAGGGGTGCAACTGCACATGGTATTAGGTAGTATATTTTTCAGGATTTGCATGGTGACTCAACAGACTCTATCTCTGTGAAACCACAGTTGAGAAATTCTCAGTTGAGGCGGCATAAGCCACCTATGGAGCTTGTGAAAAGGCAGCTTCCTAGGCACTGCTGCCCAAGAGGCTGATTCAGTAGGTCGTGGGGTCAGGGGCCCAGGATCTGTACTTGAACATGCATCTCAGGCAACTCCCTTGCAGGAGGTATTTGGGTGACATCTGAGAAGCCCTGCCCGGCTGGGCAATGGGTTCTTAATGGTGTGTCTGGCACATCCCAGCATTTTTGGCTCTCACTTCCTGTGTTTGAGTGCAATGTGACTGTGGTGTGGGGAATTCAAACAGAGCTCTGTGTGTGTCAAGATGCCTGAGGGGGTGACCACAGCCTTAGGAGGCAGAATGAGAGCACAGGCATGCTGGGAATGGAATCATCTGCCTTCAGTCATGAGAACCCACTGAATGCCCTCGTAACAGCTTCATTTCAGGAAGGGGTGATGCGGTCAGAAAGGCACTGGCTGGGTACCTCTGCCCAGTTGCTGTGAATGCTGGTTCTGCCACTCTCTGGTTGTGCAACCTTGGGCATTTTACCAGCCTAAAGTCTTGGGGATGTCAGATGTGAAATGAATGTCATACCTACTCCTGAGGATTGTTGTGACAGAGCCAATAGCAGGGTGCTCACCATAGTGCTTGGCAGGGTTGTTGTGAGAATTAAATAATCTAACGAATACAGAATGGTTATCATGGTACCCAGCTTCCAGCAGACATTAAGGCAAAGTTAATTTCTGTTTCTTTTTTGTGGACTGACAGTTGGGGAAAATGTTTTAAACTAGCCCTGATGGAAAGATAACTCAGTCCACAGAAGGGTCAGTTGCCACTGCACCTGTTGCTCTTGGAGCCTGGGTGCTGGGGCCCATGACAGCACTGCTGCTGTGGACACACACCTGAGAGGCTCCTAGAGATGGTTCTGTCTCTGTATATGCATGATGGAGGCCCATGGGTGCCCGGGGTGGGGTGGGGTGGAATACTCCTTGGGGACTGGGAGGTGATGCTCTGATTGCAAAGCCCCTGTGAAGAGAGAAGGTTGACACATGTTTCATCATAATCTGGAGCAAGGTTCCTACACCAATGTGGACATGTCTGTCTCTTGGGCCAGGGCTGCAGGGATTGGCATCCTGACAGTGATTCTGGGAATTCTACTACTTCTCAGCTGCTGGTACTGCAGAAGACGAAGTGGATACCGAAGCTTGAAGGTCAGTAAAGTTCCCACTGCTGAGTCCCTCCAGTTCCAGGCCCTCCCTTCTCCTTTCTCTGAAGTTCTGGGGAGTGGGGTGACAGTCTCATGATCACCTCCAGCACTGACTCATGGTTCTGATGCATCTTTCTCTACACTGTACATCTTATAAGTCTTCCTTTGCTTCTGCCCAGGTGTGAATCCCAACCAGGAACCTGGCCCATCTTTCTGATTCCACTCACAGCAAACTTGAGGGCCTGCATATGTAGCTGATGGTTTTGGGGGCAAGTGGGAAGGCTTCATGGTCCTCTTGCATAGTGAACAGAAGTACATGAGACACTCCAGGTCTTACCAATCCTTCTGGGGATTCCCACTGGTTCTGTTACTCCACTTAGTGGCCCATTCTTCTTACCCTACCTCTTCACTCCTTTCTTTCCAGGTTTCCTGGGAATTCCAAGTTCTTCTAACTCTATTAGCAAGCAGTCCAGCATAGCCAGGACCCCTGTAGCCATCAGTGCAGTGAGGAAACTGTCCACCCCTCAGCAGCACAAAGGACCGCCAGATTTTTAACAGGTTCCTCCCTCCTTTGATGCTCAATGTGGTTTGATTAGGATTTTTGCTCCTTTACCCATACAAGCAGGAAGTTAACAAAAAGCAGGATCCTTCAAAAATGAGCAGCATCAACAGAGTCACTAACCTGTGAAGACTACACGTTTCAGAAACCTTGCTTCAAAGACAGGTAGCAGTTTGGAACTTAAGCATCCAAAGGCATTCTCCAGAGTGAGCAACAGGATAGAAGGAGAGTTGCCATTTTTCTCTCTCCTTTCTCTTTGTTATTACAGATCTGAAAGCTTCTGAGGTTGATATATAATGGGAAAAAATTTATCTTTACAAAAGATGTTGGAAAGTCCCCTTCCTCATTTAGCAACACTTCATTCAGAGAAAGTGGTTCTGTGATGGAGAGGAGGGCTGGTCTAGGTGGAGGGCTAGATTCTGGCAGTCTGAGAAGAAGGGGAAGGTGAAAATGGTAGCTTCAAATTCTTCTCCTTGCTGGAAAGCTTGGGAAGTCCCATGTGACCCTTTTCCTAACGCCCACCTTGCCATGGTGTCCCGGATAGAAATCAGGAAAGTCAGGGTGAAGGTGGGAAACGCAGTCACCAAGCAGCAGCCCCATTTACGGGAAGGAGAAGTTCTGGAGTCTGAATAGGACTGCGACCACAGCCAAGCCTCGGGTTGAGAGGTTAGGGAATATAACTCTTTGCTCTCTGCTATACACTTCATGTGTACCTCTAGAACAAGGTGATGACATTGCCTTGTAATTTGTTATTTACTTTTTGCTTCTTCTACCCCTTCTCTTCATCCTATTTGGAGCTGATGCAGAAAGTAGTTTTTATTCCTCTTTTACTTCCAGAGCCTAGCATGATGCCTGGCACACAGCAGTCACCCAATTGTATGACATAAGGATTTGGTCTCACTCTGCTGTTGACTTACTGTGGCCTTAGATTTTCATTTCTCTGAGCCTCATTTGCTCTATTATACACCTAGACACAGATGACATAACATGATGCATATCACTTTTTATGTGATATATGCTTTCTTCTATAATTAAAAAAATTTATTCTATGTTTACGTATAAAAAAAAATGATTAGCTCTACAAACTCAATATATTGGTATCCATTCCTTAACTGTCCATAATTGCTAGCTTGATGCTCCCCAGACAAAAAAGCAACTTTTCCCCCCATTCTGCTTCAACACTCTCTTATCTTAAATGCGTTCAATGGAAGAAAGACAGTCTGAGTCATGGAGTTAGACACTGAGCATTTTGCCTTTCTGTTCAACCTGCCATCCTCCAGTCCTCCAGCTCTAGACCAGCGACTTGTGGAATTTATGGAATTTTTATGAGATTTAAAAACTGTGTTTAAATTCCCTGGTTCCTTCTAATGTTTAAAAATGGAGTCATTTATTTTTAAAATTAATATTAAAATCTTGTTTTGAGACTTTCATATCTCCTGAAAAGCCAGGTTGGGGACCAGCAGTCTAAGAAATGTAGGTAAAATTATGTAAAGTAGTGCATTAAGTATTGTATTTAATTACATAATTACCTGTCTCTCTTTGATGATTCTGTTTTCATCATAAAACAGAAGAACACAAATGATGATTAATGCAAGCTTCAGGTACCACTTTTATCAACCTTTATTAAGCTTTGAAATATGTTTATTTTTCCACTTTCATTGCTCACAGAATGGTAGAAAGGTTGGTTGGAAGTAAGGTCTCCTAAAATTTCTTCCTTGCCCAACAATTCCTCTTAGACCCGAAAAACACCTTTTGAAAGGAAAGACTGCTTTTTGCAGAAATGGGTTCCTGCAGAAAAATGATTTATAAGGCATTGGAAGTTGGCTTTCATATTTATGAATTTTATTCTTTCACGTCTAAGTTTAGGACATAACACTTCTGATTCTTGGGGAAAAATTCAAAAGCTCTCCTGACAGCTCACTTTACACTCACGTCTTTCAGTGTCATGTTTCTCAATGTACAGTCAGGGGCCCCTGAACTCAAATAACCTCAAATAAAATGTAGAGTCTGGGACCATCTCTGGTGGTGGGACCCAGGACCCTGTTTGAACACACACACTGAAGTTTGATGCAAATACACAGAATTGGCAGTGAACTGGAGAAGTGAATTACGCTCCTAACCTATGGTAGGTGAGGATCAAAAAAATAAGGAACAAAACCAATAATCGAGGTAAAGGGAAAGAACGCATTCACATTAACACACCTCGTGCTGTGCTGTGCTGTGCTTCGTTGCTCAATCATGTCTGAGTCTTTGCAACCTCAAAGATTGTAGCCCGCCAGGCTCTTCTGTTCATGGGGATTCTCTAGGCAAGAATACTGGAGTGGGTTTCCATGCCCTCCTCCAGGGGATCTTCCCAACCCAGAAATGGAACCCAGGTCTCCTGCATTGCAGGCAGATTCTTTACTCTCTGAGCCACCAGGGAAGTCCAAGAATGAGCCACTGGAGTGGTTAGTCTATCCCTTCCCCAAGGCAACTTTCTGACCCTGGGATTGGTCCAGGGTCTCCTGCATAGCAGGCAGATTCTTTACCAGCTGAGCTAAGCAGGAAGCCCATTAAGCACCTTACTGGAGGTATATCACTAGGAGCTGTGGAGGGCAGCAGAACCTCCTTGGATCCTCTCGTCAAGATTGGGGTCCTTGTGCTTATATCCTTCCAAAAGGTAGTGTCAATAATAATTTCAGAGTAGAGTTTAGGAAAACTTCTTTACAGCCAGCAGACCCTATAGGTACCAGTCCCAACCATGTCTGGTCTCATCCAATTGATGATCCAAACACTTCTCCTCCCTGGGAGACCCGTCCGGATGCCCATCTCTTTCAACCCAGTAACACCAGTAATCAACCACAGTCTACAGACAAGACTGCGGAGGAGGCACTGAACATTGGCACAGCCTTCCTGTTCCAGTTCCCCTCAGCCAGGACTTCAGAGAGCTGCTCATGCCCTACTGGTGGATTTGGTTCACAGATAATGTTTGGGTCTGTAACTTAAAAAACTGAATTAGGTGCAAACATTTAAAAGTAACATTTTATGTAAAAATCTTAATTTCTAGTTTATTTTTTGAAAAAAATCAAAAGATCTGGCAAAACTTGGCAGCTATGCAGTGGTTTGTCCCTTTGGAAGCAACACATACTCCCTCCTTTTCTATGACCCCCATCTGACTTCCTCCTTCCTCTAAGGGTCAGATCGTAGCGGGGTCATGCCAGGCACAGGCAATAAGGAAGTGCATTGCCTGGAGAGCCCTGGACCAGCAGTATTAGTATCACTTGGGAACTTGCCAGAAGTGCAAATTTATAGGACTTCACCCTATACCTACTATGTCAGAAATTCTGGGTGCAAGCCCAGCAATCTGTGTTTAACAAGCCCCCCAGGTGACACTGCTGCATTCCGAAGTTTGAGAATGACTTCTGTGGAGAATTTAACTAAAAGTCTGCTTTTTATGATCACAATGTGCCAGCAATTTAAAACAATGCCAATAATGAAATATTCCACTTCACCTGGGCAGAGTGCATCTGCAGTCCCTGTTTTGGTACGTGTATCTGTCTTGCACAAACTGTTGTCATTCTATTCTAGGGATGGAGAGCATCCCCCCTCAACCTATGCAAATGACCAAACTATAAGCTTTTACCCACCCCTTCCCCCAATAATTCAAAGTGCACAACCGCCTTAGGCTGACTTGTCATTGTTGTGATGTGACTTGGAAGCTCAGCACTACAACCACAGTATTTCTACCACAACACAAGCACTCACAGTGTTTAAGATATATTGCTGTCTTTATGGGGAAGGCAGAAATAGACAGAGTGTCCCTGCTATCAAGCTGTTCCTATGTTTCTCCTCACTGTGAAACCACCTCCTGCCTCCATAGCTCTGATCTACTCCTCTTGTAATCATTCTCTGAGATCCAGTTTTATATTTCACTCCTCTCCTTCCTTTCAAAAATATTCATTGACTAATAGGTGTCAGGCACTGTATTAGGTGTTTTGTTGTGCTCAGTCATGTCCGACTCTTTGTGACCCCATAGATTGTAGCCTGCCAGGCTCCTCTGTCCATGGGATTTTTCCAAGGAAGAATACTGGAGTGGGTTGCCATTTCCTCCTCCAAGGGATCTTCCCGACTCCACATCTCCTGCATTGGCAGGTGGGTTCTTTACCACTGAGCCACTGGGGAAGCCTAGTTTTGAGAGGTAGGTGACATCATCTTCATATTACTGATGAAAACACTGGAATTCGAGAGACTAAGTGACTACCTGAGGATACACTGAGGATAAGTGGCAGGGCCAAGATTAAAATTCATTCTTAAGATGTCAACTTCCTTCTCTTTTTCTTTAATGGACTCAATTATTTTTTCTCACCCACTGACCTTCATGAATTCACATTTCAGGACAAAAACATTCATGCTGGTACTCAAAGTACCCTGACAGGAAGATGTTCACATGAGGGGCTTGGTCAACAGGACAGCAAATTGCCTTTTCAAGAGAACAAGTGTAAACCCGTGGTAGGTTGAGATCCTGCATCCTGGTATTTCTGTATATGCTTACTTTTAACTCGAATGAATAAAATATTGCCATTTAAAAAGCAAGGGCAATGTGAATATACTTAATACTACTGACTAAAAAAAGGTTAAAATGTTAAATTTTATATGGTATATTTTACCATAATAAAAAGTAAACAGTAAGATTAAAAACAAGGGAATTCACAGAGGTTTTCTTAAATTGTGTCCTCTCATATCCAGAGTTTCCTGAGTCAATAATGAAACATCTACATGCAAGGCCCAAAGGAAGAACTTGGTTCTGGATACAATGTCCTTTTGTCTCATGTTTTTTAGTATAATTGCTTTTGTCCTGAACATAGACATATCTAACAGAGGAAAAAAGTGCCTATTATTAATTGTATAGAGTTGCACTGTCCAATAGTTGCACTGTAGCCCCTAGTTACATGTGGTTATTGAAAACCTGAAATACAGTACTTTGAATTAAGACATCTTGGAATACATACTAGATTTCAACAACTTATTATGAGGAAAATAACATAAAAATCCACTAATGAGTTTTATACTGACTACAGGTTGAAGTGATAATATCTTACTTCAACATGAAAGTGGGGTTAAATAAAATATATTAGTGAAATTAATTTTACTTGTTTCTCTTAATTTTTAAAAATGCAGCTACTAGGAATTTTAAAACCACATATGTGGTACATTCTATTTCTACTGGACAGTCCTGGTATAGATGCAGTAATTATAGCTTTTGAGAGCACTGGCTCCAGAGCCAAATTATTATATTTGACTCTTAGCTCCATGACTGGCCAGCTGTAAGACATTCATCAAGTGATTTAACTTCCTTGTGCCCCAGTTTCCTGAACTGTAACATAAAAACAATGGAAATATTCCTAAGGTTGTTGTGAGCATTAAATGAGGGCCTGATAGATTTGTGCTCTGTTGATAGATGCAACGGCCTTTAGACACAGCTATCAGGATTTATGCTTGTGGTAAAGATGCAGTGTGATCAGTGTTTGTAACAGGACTGAAAAATTTGTAAATTAGGGCTTGGGACTTCTACTGATAAAGATAATCCAAGGAGATTTTGGGGAAGTCACTTAGCCTTTTTTCTCTGCTGTTATCCCTCCACCACTGCCCAAATGCTTCAACATACACACTTGTGTAATTTAACACTAATTACCTCATTGGGTGGAAATTAGATATGAAACAAGTTTCAACCCAGAGCAAAAGTATAAACGTGATGCAGTTATTTTGACTTAATCCCTCTTTCAGAATCATGTGTGTTGTTGTCAAGCCCATGCTCTCCTTTCTCATCCTCACAGATTCCCAATGCTCCACCTGCTTATGAGAAACTGTCCGCAGAACAGTCACCACCACCTTATTCTCCATGAGAGCCAGTGAGGCCTTGAGACGTGCTGAAATGATTTCCCTTATGCTTTTGCTTGAATTTGATGTGGGCATGCAATGTTCTGCTTCAGAATGCTGTAGAAACAGTGTACATTATCTCTAATAATAAGCTGAGTGTCAAATTCTTTGTAAGGCAACTAGCAATACTAATTGAGGAAATGATGAGAAATACTAAAATGGGAAAAGCTTTGTCAATAAACATTGTAATGGATGATACTATCCGTGCCAGTAATAATAAATCTACAATGTTGTTTTCTGAGGGAGAGCATTCAAGTGTGTGTTCTGGGACCACTGGATTTCTTTTTAAGTTAAAATGTGGCTAAAAACTAACTACTATTCTGATTTTTGAAGAAGCAGCCTCTTGATCAACATGAACTCTAACAGAACAGTTGCAGGTTAGTCAAAGGTATCAAAATGATACCTTTACAGGTTTAAGATCAAGAGCTGAATGACTTAACAAATTACAGCCAGATTCATCTGATCAGGAATCAGTCATATCTCTTTGTGTTCTGCAATTCCATGGTGTAATAATAACACACTGCAGAGATCCTGTATCTTTAGTAATACAGTTCATGCAGTTTTAATTACATTTCACTTCAATGCTCAATGCTATGATAATTATTGACAAGGATTTCCTGTTAAATCAAAAGGTGGTGTAAGGACTTAAACAAGTAAAAGCTATTCTAGTTTGACTAACACCTTGCCTTCAATGTCCCAAAGGCAAATTTAGCTCCTTTGGGCTCCCAAATTCCTTTCAAAAGAACATACAGAAGAAATCATAAAGGATCAGCAATTCTGGAATGGTGTCTTTATTTGTATAGCAACACTGCAATTTATGTGACATCTACGTATTATTGTCTGTCTAATGTTTTTCTTCTGATCAGCTCATTTCAAGTTTTTTTTCCTTAACTTATATCACCAGTCTAAATGAAAAATCAGTATCACTTTTTTAAGTAGGGAATAAAGATAAAAAGAAGATAATGAAAGCAAATTACATTGGAACCTAGAAAGATACTGATGATCACAGCAGGCCATCAACTTGAGACCTGCCCTCGTTATTAAAGAGGAAGATTAGCAAGAATCAGAGAAAATCTTTTGACATAATTAGAAGGCTTGTAAGAGAAAGAGATGACTTTCTCACTCTGTGACTTATGTGTCTAATGCTGAGTCAGTAAACCACCTACCATCATCTTGTGTCAGTGGAAATGCCAGTGTGGCATAACTGCATCATTTTCACTGAAGACGCACTTGCACGGGGCGGGGGGGGGGGGGGGGGAGGGGGCACTGAATAAAGAGATTTAGTATACACATTGGAGAAAAGCCGTCATTCCACAAAGTACTAAAAGATATCCCATCTTTCCTGATTCTGTCCAGTCTTACTACTTAAAATAAACCCTCTCTCCCCTTTTCAAACAAATATATACTGAGAAAGAAAACTTAATTAGGATTTGGCTAGCTCCTATCCTCATTGTAGGGCCCTGTCTGAGCCTCAGTCCTCCACTTCCACAGACGAACCTGTATCCCCGTGCCCAACCACAACTTATTTATCATTGTGTGTCACTGATGGTAGGGGCAGGGGTCTGAGACTTACTTCCACCCCTGCTATAAACAATCTTCCTGCTATTAATAAAGTCCCAGCAGGAATGTCAAAAAATTTTTTTGACAAAAGAATAAGGTTGGAGCCCTATCTCACAACATTATAAAAATTAGCTAAAAAAAAATTCATGGAGCTAAGTATAGGAGTTAAGACTACTTTTTAGTTAAGACTTCTTGTTTTTCTTAGGAGAAAAAGAAGAATAAATTTTTGCAAAGTTAGATTTGGTAATGGTTTCTTTGATATGACAGAAAACCACAAGTGATGTTGGTAAATGGAATTCATCAAAATGAAAAGCATCATGCTTCAAATGATGGAAACAATCAAGAAAGAGAAGATATGCAGCACTGGGAGAAAATATCTGCGAATGATATACCTGATAAGGGACTTGTATGTAGTTTATATAAAGAACTCTTACAACAACAACAACAACAAAACCAATTAAAAAGTGAGCACATTTACAACACTACACATATTAAAAATATATATATATTATATATACACATATATATACATATACATATAATATATATGTGTATATATAATATATATATATATATATATATATATATAAAATCATGGGTTCACACTGATAACTCCAATTCTATCAACTACAAAGGTTTAGTTGTAACCTTTTTCATTCTAAACTCTTATCATATTTTCAAATCCATTTTTCCCACTAGTTGGAAAATGACTTCTGTTAATCTCAAATTACCAACTTATTGTATGAATCACCTTAGTATGTAAGCATTTTACCATCAATCTGCCATGCCATCCCACGCCCCCTCAAGAGATACCATCCAGTCTGCTCAGATCCTGACATCTTGCTGTGGACTACCACCAACCAGCTCCCTAACTGGAACCCTCCTTATCCTGCTCAGGTGTCCATACCCTGTGCCCAAGCTTCTAACTGTCTGCCTCCCCCTGACATAGACCTCCTATGGAACCTGCTGTTCAAATGTTCTCTTTATCACAACTGGGCTCTGACAACCTTAGCTCAGTGATCACCAACCCCATCCCCCTACCCACTGTGCACATGACCTCCTCAGACTTCTTTGGCTGCTCACTCCCTACTCTGGGCCAAAGTCACCCCTGCCCTCACCTTCCCACAGATGTTCTATCTTCTGCAGAGACTTCATCACCACTCATTGGCCACTATTTATTACCTACACCACAACTTGGCAAAGAATAATAATAATAACAATAATAAAGAATCTATGGCTTGAGCCCTGGACGCCTTCAAGACCCCAGACCATCATTCGCTGAGAGTTCTCTCTTTTCCTCATGGACAAAGGCTATGTTCACAGAATTCTTCAAGGTAGTGTTCCAGGCGATGGACAAGGCTTCACTTAGTCTGCCAGAGAGAAGCTAGAAGAGTGAGATTCCATTTAAAGGACTAGAAAGTGCCAGTCAAAAGAAGAAACTGCTTCCTTCACAGAGGCAGCTACACTTTTGAACATGCATCTCTGGTTGGAGATCAGCTGACAACTCTGGGAGCCAGGAGTTGAAGACAGCAGAGTCACATGGGAGGAGTTGGTCACTGAGTCACCCCTGGAGGAAAGGTTCCCCCATCCAGGAATGCTTCGAATAAATGGGGGTAAGTTGGCCTCAGAGAAAATCCATGATCTGTTAACACATTGCCAAATTTGATACTGAAATCCAAGGCTGTTACTTAATACCTTTTTGAGGACCTTCAGGGCTCTGCCCCTGCAGACATGAATGACCAAACACAAACCAGAAGCCTCCAGGGGAGAGAGGTCTCTGTGACCTTTGCAGCCAGGATTAGGCTTCCACCCTGTTGAAGGCAATTATAATTCAAGAGAATGAGCCTCACCCTGGGCTGTGGGCATGAGTCTTCTACTGCAGTGTGCCCTACCATTATGCCTGTCCAGCTTATGGGTAAAGAATACATAATGGCATGTAGCTGCTTTGATCTCAGAGGTTTCCTGCAGAACTGGGTTAAGATTAGAGTGGTCAGAGCTCATGGGTGATCTCCTCTGGCTGCAATCAGTGTTTTCCACTTATCCAAATGCACTGGGTAGATATTATCACTATTTGTGCAGTAAGCAGAGCAAAGTTAGACAGTTCTGGTCTTCCCTCGTCCACTCACCCTGCACCAGCCCTCAGAAGCTGTTTTCTCATTTTTGAGATAAGGTGCAAGTCTCCATGGGTTTCCTGAGGAGATTCTGATACTGTAAAGATGAAAAAAAAGCTAGCCAAAAGATTTTTTGCTCAAGTTAGTCAGTGAGAAGACCAGACTGATTGCACAAATCAATGACGTGCTCAAGTCACCTCCAGTTCTCTGAAGTTGCGAACACTGAGTTTGGTAGTACTTATAACATATCTGGACAGGTCCACTCGTCATTTGAGAACATTGTAGAACTTCTCTCAAAAGAACAAAAGTGAGCCCCCTAAACTCTCATTCCATGGCTTGATTTTAAGGACAGTCACTTAAGGGCTTCCCTGGTAGCTCAGACGGTATAGAATTTGCCTGCAATGCAGGAGACCCAGGTCACTTAAAAGTTGCATCAAAATCCCTCAATCTCAAGTGACTGTCTCAGAACATATTAAAAGCATTTCAGAAGGACACAGAACAACTTCAAAGGGAAATCATGGATGGTTTGAAAACACTTATTTTAAAGAAAGCCTAAAACTGCTATCCCAAGAAGCTATGGGTGAGATGGAGGAAAAGAGTGGAAAATAAAAGAACAGGAAAAAATGCTTGACAACTTGAAAACACAAATGAAAGAGGCTTTCCATGGTAAACAGAGCCCATTAAAATCTCTGAAACTGCACTAAAGACAATGTTTGCCTGATTCCTCTAGAGATTACATGGTTGATGGCAACTTGAAATTAGATAAAGAGAAAAGCAGAAACTTGAGAACTCTCTGGACTGTCAATCAGAAGTCAGTTTGAAGGAATCCACTGACCCTGACAAATATTTCCTTAAAAAGGTTTGAAGGAGAAAAACCGACATGACTATTTAAAAAGTGAAGAAAATTAAATGAACAAATCACTTACAGTTCAAATGAATGCTCTCCAAAGGAGACAAAGTCTTTGCAGTCTGAAAATAGTTTGAAAGTGAAGTCCAAAAACAGCTAAAACTTCAAATACTGTCTGAACTATGTTAAGAATTAAGAACGTGTGATGCAAATTTGCAGAAAACCAATCAAGGAGAGAATTTACTGCATATAAATTGAGAAGAAATGTCCCAAAGTGCACAAAAATATTAGTCATATACATCAGAAGGATGATCCCTAGAAGGGATGGCCTTGAGAAAGAGCTGGAAAGAAGCACTTCCTTTTATCAAAGCTGGATTGTCTCCCATGAGAAAAAAAAGCTCAAGAAAGTTGTTCAGCAGCTGAAGGTACAAGTCCATCCCAAACTCCCTAACTACCCTTCCCTCTCCAACCCTCCCACCAGCAACCATAAGTTCCTTCTCTAAGTCTGTGAGTCTCTTCCTATTTTGTAAGTTCATTTGTATCATTTCTTTTTAGATTCCACATATAATGGAACTCTGCTTAATGGTATGTGGGGCCTGGATGGTAGGGGGTCTTGGGGGAGAATGGATACATATGGCTTTGTATGGCTTTGCTGTTCACCTGAAACTATTACAACATTGTTAATCGGTTATAACTCAATACAAAATAAAAAGTTAAAAAAAAAAAAAGAAAGTTACTGAGCTAAGAAGATAAAATAATCAAAACAGATAAAATTGGCTCCAGCAGTTTAAATCCAGCATTTCCTAAGTTGCCCACACTGTTCCACATGCAGCCCTGGACAGAAGTAGAAGAGTATCAGGAGATTCTGGATCATCAGGTCCCCAAGGAAGGCAGAGGGTTAAGCTCAGAGGGCTCAGGCATTAGCATCATCTTAGGTTCAAGTTTATACCGCCAGCTCCTAAACATCCACAGCAGGATATCTGTTTTCTCTCTTTAAAAATAATTTAAGTAAATCTCTTTTCAGTTTAACTGCTTTTACTTAATTGATGCTACATTTGCTCAAATTGAAGTTTGACAGAATTATAATTCCTAAGAGAGTGTTTCGCAAATATAGATGAATATAATACAATTCTTATGGACAACAGACCATCAGACTTTCTAGAATTAGATCCATATAAGAATTGTACTTAGATTGAACTAAATGTTCCACTATTATTTAATCCATAATTGAGTTTTCATATGATCAGGAAGAGATATTTAAATCAATAAAGATCATTTATATATGCTATGAACTGTCAGAACAAATTAGTAAAAAAAAAAATTCAGTAAGTTTAGATTTAAAAATAATGTAAAACAAGAACCCCATTAAAAACAAAACCCCAAACAAAACTGAACAAAACATCACCTTCAACTAAACCTATTAGATTTTCCATTAGTTTAGCAATAATTTCATAGGTTAATTTAGGGCAGATAATACTTTGTTCATGGCATTTTGCTTCTTACATGTCTCTGAATTTAATAGGCAAAAAGCTTGCCCTTAAAAAAGCCCCCCAAACCCTTATCCTTCTCACCCTGAACAGTTCCCATGCTTTTTTTAACTCACCTCTTTTGCTACCATTACTGGGAGGTATCAGGTCCTCACATCACCTGCTCAACTCACCTAGTAATCAATCAGCCTTCCCCTCTCTCAGTTGTCGCTCAGTCGTACCTGACTTTTTGCGACCCCATGGACTGCAGCATGCCAGGCTTCCTTGTCCATCACTAACTACTGGAGCCTGCTCAAACTTACGTCCGTAGAGTCCATAATGCCATCCAACTATCTCCTCTGCTGGCCCCTTCTCCTCCTGCTATCAATCTTAGCAAGCATCAGGGTCTTTTCCAATGAGTCAGTTCTTCACATCAGGTGGCCAAAGTATTGGAGTTTCAGCTTCAGCATTAGTCCTTTCAATGAATATTTAGGACTGATTTGCTTTAGGACTGACTGGTTTGACCTTCTTGCAGACCAAAGATCTCTCAAGAGTCTTCTCCAACACATTTCAAAAGCATGAATTCTTCGGCACTTAGCTTTCTTTTGGGTCCAACTCTCACATCCACACATGACTACTAGAAAAACCATAGCTTTGACTATATGGACCTTTGTTGGCAAAGTAATGTGTCTGCCTTTTAATATGCTGTCTAGGTTGGTCATAGCTTTTCTTCCAAGGAGCAAGTGTCTTTAATTTCATGGCTGCAGTCACCATCTGCAGTGATTTTGGAGCCCAAGAAAATAGTCTGTCATTGTTTCCCCATCTATTTGCCATGAAGTGATGGGACCAGATGCCATGATCTTAGTTTTTTTGAATGCTGAGTTTCAAGCCAAGTTTTTCACTCTCCTCTTTCACTTTCATCAAGAGGCTCTTTAGTTCTTTGCTTTCTGCCAAAAGGGTGGTGTTATCTGTGTATTTCGAGGTTATTGATATTTCTCCCAGCAATCTTGATTCCAGCTTGTGCTTCATCCAGTCTGGCATTTTGCATGACGTACTCTGCATGTAAGTTAAATAAGCAGGGTGACAGTATACAGACTTGACGTACTCCTTTCCCAATTTGGAACCAGTCTGTTGTTCCATGGCTGGTTCTAACTGTTGCTTCTTGACATAAATTTCTCAGGAGGCAGGTAAGGTAGTGTGGTATTCCCCTGGGAATACCTGATAATCCCAGGTGAGGATTTGGATTCCAGGTCTGGAATTCCCAATTTCCATCTTGAATTCCCCAATTCTCTTTAAGAATTTTCCACAGTTTGTTTTGATCCACAAAGTCTTTGGCATAGTCAATAAAGTAGAAGTAGATGTTTTTCTGGAAGTCTCTTGCTTTTTTGATGATCCAGTGGATGTTGGCAAATTGACCTCTGGTTCCTCTGCCTTTTCTAAAACCAGCTTGAACATCTGGAAGTTCACTTTCATGTACTATTGGAGCCTGGAGAATTTTTAGCATTACTTTACTGGCATGTGAGAGGAGTGCAATTGTATGGTAGTTTTGAACATTCTTTGACATTGCCTTTCTTTGGGATTGGAATGAAAACTGACCTTTTCCAGTCCTGTGGCCACTGCTGAGTTTTCCAAATTTATTAACATTTACTATGTGGCAGGCATTATCTCACCTAATTCCCATAGCAATCATGAATGGCAATTTAATTATCTTCACCCATATTACTTATGCTTTCAAAGCTTCCTTAGCTTCCTAATTACTTTCAGCATATATTTCAGCCCTCTTTCACCCAACGCAAGTTAATTTTTAACCCTTCTTCATTAATCCTCTTAACCCCTATTATTCTATTCAAACCCAAAGGTTCTGTTCCCTCTATATTCCTTGAGCTTTTCCTTTTTAAAAATTGAGGTACAATTGACATATAACCACTTTAACATTCACTACAGTTACATGATTTTTTCTTCTTGTGGTGAGAACTTTTCAGTCTAACGCTCTCCCAACTGAGCTATTCCAGCCCCCTTGTGAGAACTTTTCAGATCCACTCTTAGCCACTTTCAAGTATACCGTAGTGTTGTTAACGTCCTTGTGCTTTTCTGCACCTTGAGTCTCTGCAGGCTGAATTCTAAACATACTCTTTTATCTCAATACAACCACCTTGTGTATAAAACCTCTGGCAGCTCCCTACTAATCTTAGTTCTTTATTCCTCTGACATTTACTTTTAACTTGTTATATTCTTTTGACTTTTGTGTTGAGGACAGGGATGGAAATTTATCTATGTTGTTACTATAGCCTCTTTTGTATTATATTGTTCTCAATAAATGTGTAGAATGAGTTTATACAACTCTTCAAATTTGATTTTATGTTGAAAATTATGCCTTGAATTTATGTTGATAACTATATATATTAAGAATGATATTAAAGGGACTTTCCTAGTGGTCCAATAGTTAAGACTCCATGTTCCCAATGCAGGGGGCCTGGGTTCAATTCCTGGTCAGGGAACTAGATCCTGCATTCTGCAACTAAGAGCTTGCATGCCGCAATGAAGACTTAACACTACCCTCGTCAAAACAATGATATTATACATAAGAACACACATAGTTTTGGCTCTCTAGCACTTCATATATTATTTTTAACTATAGTTTTTTTCTATAGATTTGATTATAGATTTTCAGAGTCTGTCTCCCAGTTAAACTATAAGAACCGGAACCATACCATCCCCTTCAGCTTTCTTGTTAGTAAACAACCAAGCATCAAGCACCATGGTATATATAAATGCTTTTTGACAAAATGAGGAAAAATACCTGGGGCAGATGACAGTCTATTAGTGACAATGCGGCTTCAAGTGATGGCAAAACAACTTCTGGAATGAAGATAAGTTGTATATCATTTCTGTATTATAGTACAGTATAATTTTTAATAACTAAACTCCCCATCATATTTTTTAGATCACTTTCAGATCCTGCCACCTTCTCAAGCTTTTAATATTAAATATTTCTTAATTCACTCTAAGTCAGTGATAAACTAGATCGTTTTTATCTTAACGTATATTATAGCCATCACTGCTTTGATCATAAAATTATTGATGTCAATTACATATTAAATACACCAATAAAATTAGAGTAGAGCCCCGGAATGAAAACAGAGATCTAAACAGCCACTTAGTATTTTAAACATATACAAAATCACAAAGGAAAATTTTTTGGTATGAAAAGTCATAAGGAATGAGAGAAAAGAGCTAATACATGAGAAAGAGGAATGTTATTTCAGCATGTTTTAACTTAGCATTTAAAATGATACCAAATTTTGACATCTAAATGGCCTATTAATTCTATACTAAATGTGGAAACATACTCTGTTAGGATCATGAAGTCTTGCAGGTAGCATTGTGGCGATTTTTCTTCCTTTACATGGCCACTTTAGTGGATGACCTTTAAAGAATATTAAATGATAACATGGCGCAGAAGCGTGCCGGCTGCGACGGACTGCGCAGATGACACCACCCTTCTGGCAGAAAGTGAAGAGGAACTAAAAAGCCTCTTGATGAAAGTGAAAGAGGAGTGAAAAAGTTGGCTTAAAGCTCAGCATTCAGAAAACTAAGATCATGGCATCTGGTCCCATCACTTCATGGCAAATAGATGGGGAAACAGTAGAAACAGTGGCTGACTATTTTCCTGGGCTCCAAAATCACTGCAGACGGTGACTGCAGCCATGAAATTAAAAGATGCTCACTCCTTGGAAGGAAAGTTATGACCAACCTAGACAGCATATTAAAAAGCAGAAGGATGGTAATGATAACCCTATATGCAAAACAGAAAAAGAGACACAGATGTACAGAATAGACTTTTGGACTCTGTGGGAGAAGGCAAGGGTGGGATGTTTCGAAAGAACAGCATGTATATTATCTATAGTGAAACAGATCACTAGCCCAGGTGGGATGCATGAGACAAGTGCTCGGGCCTGCTGCACTGGGAAGACCCAGAGGAATCAGGTGGAGAGGGAGTTGGGAGGGGGGATCGGGATGGGGAATACATGTAACTCCATGGCTGATTCATATCAGTGTATGACAAAACCCACTGAAATGTTGTGAAATAATTAGCCTCCAACTAATAAAAATAAATGGAAAAAAAAAAAAAGCAGAGACATTACTTTGCCAACAAAGGTCTGTCTAGTCAAGGCTATGGTTTTTCCAGTGGTCATGTATGGATGTGAGAGAAAGCTGTGAAGAAAGCTGAGAGCTGAAGAATTGATGCTTTTGAACTATGGTGTTGGAGAAGACTCTTGAGAATCTCTTGGACTGCAAGGAGATCCAACCAGTCCATCCTAAAGGAGATCAGTCCTGGGTGTTCATTGGAAGGACTGATGCTGAAGCTGAAACTCCAATACTTTGGCCACCTCATGCAAAGAGTTGACTCATTGGAAAAGACCCTGATGCTGGGAAAGACTGAGGGCAGGAGAAGGGGATGACAGAGAATGAGATGGCTGGATGGCATCACCAACTTGATGGACATGAGTTTGAGTAAACTCCGGGAGCTGGTGATGGACAGGGAGGCCTGGCATGCTGCGATTCATGGGGTCACAAAGAGTTGGACAAGACTGAGTGACTAAACTGAACTGAAATAACACTGAACACAAAGAACTGGGGTATTTGACTTTGTACTCTTTGGCCAAGATCCCAGAAATCCACATAACTTACCAAACTGGAGGCAGTGGAAAAACAATTTGACTTTTTGATTATATAAATCCATTAATTTAGTCACATTTCTAGTAAAAATGGGGCATTACTTTTTAAAAAGAAAACTAGACCTTAAATAATATAAGCTAACTAGATTCCTCATTCATTCAACAAATGCATATTGAATACCTGCTGCCGCTGCTGCTGCTGCTAAGTCGCTTCAGTCGTGTCTGACTCTGTGCAACCCCACAGACGGCGGCGCACCTGGCTCCGCCATTCCTGGGAATTCTCCAGGCAAGAACACTGGAGTGGGCTGCCATTTCCTTCTCCAATGCATCAAAGTGAAAAGTGAAAGTGAAGTCGCTCAGTCGCGTCTGACTCTTCACGACCCCATGGACTGCAGCCCACCAGGCTCCTCTGTCCATGGGATTTTCCAAGCAAGAGTACTGGAGTGGGTGCCATTGCCTTCTCCTTCTACCTACCATGGACCAAATGCTGGGGTGACAATGATCAAGATGACTAACAAGGTCTCTCTCTTTTTAAGGAAGACAGGCCTTAAATAATTGCATACAAAGAATTTTATTACAGCTTTGAAGGAGTTCCATGTACTTCTCACCATATGACCTCAATCTGAGTGAGTGCAATAACAGGATGCTGGCTGGCATAAGGAAAGAGAGTTATGTAATACATAATGAGAGCATATATAATGAAACATTAAGTCAAAGAGAACACCTGGGAAGACCGTGACGTCTTTAACTTTCTAGGAACTAAAAGAAAACTACAGTACAGAAAGCAAGGAGGATGGTCAATTAAAATGAAGCTGGAGAGTGAAGCAGGCACATACTGAAGATCCCTAAGTAGGGAGGAGGGACTTAAAGGTTCACCATACCACACAGAGCTTTGAAAGTCGTATTAGGATTTTGATTTATGAGTTAGAAAAGAATTGGTTAATAAGTGAGAGCCTTCACTGGGAATAAAGTGAGTCATAAGTAATTTAAATTAGTTTCTGGAAGTGATCTACAGAATTCTTCTCAGACAAAAGATGAACGGTTTTAGATTTTAAAATTTGAGTAGGTAAATAAATCCATTTATTGCACACCTGTATGTATCAATACAATGCAATGTATTTAAACATCACCCACTTCTCCCTGAAATCCAACCACTGTTTCTAAACTGACAAGGAAATGGGGAAGGTGACTAGAGTACAACATACACATGATTAGCAGTGTTACTGCCTTAGAGTATAAATACAAGCTTTCGAGAGACTTTAACAACTTTCCAGGAATATTCTCACTGCCCTTTTCATTTTGATAACTAATAAATTTCAATGTAGTTTCAAAAGAAGTCTTTAGGCCTACTCTTCCCTACCATCTTCAACCCTGGCCTATTAACTCCATGTGATGAGGCTTAATAATATCACTACAAATGGAATGTGGATGAGTATACAATCATTATCCCAAATAAGATAATGGATACAAACATTGAGTAAGTATAAAATCTACCTTTTATTTAAGATATGGCAAATCTGAAATACCATAATGTTAAACCCCAAGAGTAAGCTGACCCATAAACATTGCTTTACCATGAAATTTAAGTAACTGCTCTGTACTGAAAAATATGCAAAAAAGGAGGGAGTACTCATAAATAATTTAAAACGGTGCTCGCATTTGTCACCCTAAACTAAAAAAAAATTCATGTTTTTAAATATCATTTTGAAAAATCACTATGAACCAACCCCTCAATGTAAAAATAAATGTATTGGGAGAAGTTAGGTGAAGGGTACCTGAAACTTCTCGTACTATCATTGCAACTTCTTCTGAATCTAAAATTATTTAAAAATAAAAGGTTGAAAAAAATATACTTGGCTTAAGATTACTTAATCAATGTAGAATTTAGTGGTAAATTAAGAAAAAAAAGTTAAAACAATGAAACCCAGAGTGAAATTTTAAAGCAGAAGTCATGTAAAGTTATGCAAAAAGGATTTAAAGCATTAGATTCAAATACTGAATATACCATCCACTTGGAGAAGGAAATGGCAACCCACTCAGTGTTTTTGCCTGGAGAATTCCATGGACAGAGGAGCCTGGGGGTCTTAAGTCCATGGGGTTGCAAAGAGTCGGACATGACTGAAGCTACTTAGCACAGTACATGGCATCCACTAGCTGAGTGACCTACAACACACCATTTAAGCTTTCAAGATTGCTATGAAAGTCAAATGAGGTATGTATAAACAAAGTTTGTAAATTGTAAAGCCTTGTAAAAATGCCGTTAGTGATTCAAATTTCCTAGCTTAAAATTCCTTTTCGTAAAGATCTGTCCTCATTTCATATCACGTTATCTTTCAACAGAACAAGAACGCACTTCAAAAATGGTATTCAAACAAGGAAATACAGCAACTCAGTTTATTACATGCAGATTCTTCTGCATTGATGCTAACAGTTCACTGGTCCAAAATTACTAAAATACTTAAAAAACTATACATTATGTAAACAAAACATAAATAAGACAGCATAGTTCTTTGTACATATAGTTTAGTACAGGTTGTTAAGAACTTAGGGATATGTACAATTTTACACAATGGACTGCATTTTCACAATGCATAAATATATATATATCTATTTTTTACAGAAACAAAAATATTATTCCACTAAAGACACAGAATATCGTATTGGAGATACACGCTGCAACAGTCCAAATTCAAGAAGAAACATGTCAATGCAAGTGTGCAAAACCCTAGCTTATTCCAAACTAGTCAAACTTGACTGTTCAATTTATGTCATACAGACAGGTAAATCCTGTCTATTTTAAACAAATAACCTTTGAAAACATACTCATACCAATGAGTGAAATGAAACAGATTTTTCCCTCCCCAAGAAAAACAAAGCCTTGTTGCAAGCTAATGAAAAGATACATTAACACACACACAAACTATGTATAGTATGTTTTCAACAGTATAATAAACAGTTAAAATTTTTATGGGAGTCAAAACAATGCCCCATTATTTAAAAACTGGCTCGTTTAGTCTAAATTCAAGATGCAGCTGTGTCAGGCTTCTCTAAGCCAGATGACTGAAAAGCAGGGAAGACAGAGGCAGGATTTCGACTGGCAGATACAATTTGAGAGAGTGATGGAGAGGCTGAAGAAACCTTAGATGATGGAGTATTTATGGTATTCAAAATGGCTCCTTCTGGACTGACCAATAATTTTTTGACTGATGTGTCCAAATGAAATACTGAAGTGTTACTTGGCAGTGGAGGATTACTAGAACAAATGGCAGAAACTAAAGATGTCTTAGCCAAAAGAGTTGCTGGAGGAGACTGAATTACTGAAGTCAGTGACACTGTTGGTACAGGAGGTGGAACAGAAACTTTAGCAGTTGGGTTTATAATTTGTGGTGCTGCAGGTACTGTGGATAGAGAACTTGCATTCCCAAGAGAGTTTACAATTTTTGTAGAGCTTTTTGGACAATGTTTTACAGGTTGCCCACTTAAGGAATTATTTGATGCTAGTGTGATCTTCTGGGCCAGGTTATCTACTGGTGTAGGCTGAGTGCCTTGGCCATTATTAAGAACTAAGGGAGGTCCATATTTTGGATTAGTAGATATAAGGAGAACATGGCTGCCAGCTCCAAGACCTTGTGGTGGAACAATAAACCGGGCTCCATTAATCATGATCTGAGTACCAGGTGCCAAAGGTGTACTGGTATTGATGACTATTTTTTGCTGAATACAAGGTTCACTGAACTGACTCCCTATTACACTAGTTATATTTGATGGTGCTGTAGCAGTGTGAATGGCAGTGACACCTGGAGTAGAACTGTAACTAGGGGTTGATTTTAAGAAAGCAGGGGACATTTGCTGGTTTGGCAGAGAAGCAAAATTGGAAATGTTAATTATTTTACCTGGATTTGGTGAAAGGGATGGCAATTCAGTTTGAGGTTTATTTGTATTTATATTTGTTGGCACTGTAGTTGAAACCCCCGGTGACTGAAACTGGACTGAAGTCCGAGATTGTCTTTTAGAAAGAGATACAGAACGTGTGGCTCCTGGTGCTGTTGCTGCTTGTGGAACAGTGTTGATTGTTTTAGGGGACACAGTCACAGGTGTAGGCAAGGCAACCGTAACAGGGATTTGCAAAGCTGATGTTAAACATTTCGGAGACACTGTTGGTTGTGTAGTTGAAATCAGAACAGATGATGCAAGATGTCCTGTTTTCACAGTTGATATAGCCACAGTGTTTCCGAGATTTGACGTGCAAAGTCTGTTTGACAAACTAGGCATAATTCTTGAAGAGGTATCATTTCCACTGACTAAAACAGGAGGTCGTGTCCCAACTGAGGCACAGGTTGAGGTCACTGAAACAGAACCCAAAGATACATTTGCTCCTGTTCCTGAAAACATGTTTACTGTTCTTGAAGCAGAAACCACTGATTCATTAACAGGAGTAATATTTTGACTCATAAAATTTGAGCTTACTGGAATTGAACTGCCACTTGTTGACAATGGTAAAACATAGCCCTTGCTACTTTTTTCTTCGCCTTTTGAGGTTACATTTTGCAGTATGTTAATTGATGGCACAGCTGGCACATTGCCTGAAGTATTAACAATTGCTTGGCCTATGTTTAGCCCAATTTTCACATCTTTTATCTGAGACACAGTTGGTGATGAATTTATTTTTATTGGTGTTCCCACTGTAGATGGAATTAGTACTATCTGGGGCTGTTCTGGAGACTTAACATATGTTTTACTCAGTGGAGAAGGAAGAGCTTGTTTTAATGGTTCTGCTACAATGGTTGGGGTTGAAGTGCCACTGGGAATTGCAGCATTTATAAAAACTAATTTCTGGGCAGAAACACCTGGAGATGTTGGTGCTGGTGTCACATTAATCGCAGTTCCACTGCCAGAAGAAAGAACAGATGGAGCTGACACCAGCATAAGTTTCTGCACTGGAGTCCCACTGACAGTATCTCCACTTGCTGCTGCTGTTGTGTCTGATCTTGTAACAGGGTAACTTTTTGTGACATAATCTACTTGTTGATGTTTCGCTGGTGTACGAATAACATTTGAACTGGTTTGTCCAAAATTTCCTGTTGATATGCTAATTACACTTACCGAACTATTTGCTGTTGATGATAATAGAGTGTTGGAAGAAACAGAGGACTTTAAGGGAGAGGAAGGCATGGGTGAAGTTTTATCTATCGTATGGCCCAAATTACCACTGCAGGAAGGTTGGCTTAATGTAAATTTAAGATTTTTCCCCGTGGATGGATTAAAGCCAGCTGGAATGGAAACAGAAGTAGGTGCTTGGCCAAAAGAAGGGAGATTAGATGTAGCAGTTGTTCCAGCTACTGACGAAAAAGCAGATGATGAGGAAGCTGATGACTTTGGTACCAGAAATGCCTGAAGCTGAGGAGCAATAGTAAAAACTGAACCTGAAGATAGACTGCTGGGGGAACTCTGATCTGGATTGGTCTGAACTTTTACAACTCCAGTGTTTCCACCTCGTGTCCTAACAAGAATTGACTGTGAATCTCTGATACACACAGTTTTCAGTTCTTGCTTTGCTTCAGAAGAATCAGCAGTTTGTTGTGCAAAACAGCTGAGGGAACTAGCGGGAGGATTTGTAGATCCATTTAGTGTTGTTGCTGATAACTGAGGCTGAACTGTGGAGGAGGTACTGGGTGAAGCAGTGGGCTGTGGGAATGCGGCGGCTGAAACTGTGTTCTTGACTTTTCCTGCCTCACTCTGGCTAGTTTTAACTGGTGGTGCTAACAAATTACTTATGGAGGTTACAGGTGTCAAAGACTGTGGTCTAGCACTACTCACATTTGACAAAGGGGTAACTGTCTTGTTGAAAGCTGTATTAGATAGTTGGGTAGAAACAGTTCCTGTTGGGTTGACAAGAACTGATGGTAAAGAAGAGTTTACATTTGCTGTCTGTGGGAAAGATGAACCATGTTGTTCTGTACCTTTTTGTTGAAGTGGTGGTATTTCTTTCGCAACTGCTTTCCCTTCCTTGTGCTGAATCACAAAACTCTTAGGCAGAATGAGAACCTGTTGCATAATTTTTTCTCCTGATTTAGGATCTAGCATAGGTTGCATCTGAATCTTTACAGAGCTGTTATGAAGATCTATGGGCAACCACTGGCCACAGGGCATTTTGTATACCATCTGTAAAGGACCTTTTGTACTGGTGTGGCAGGTCAATGCTGGCTTTATGGGGCTTGCTTCTGGAGGAGATATAACTGGTTTTTCCACAGCAGGGGCATTTCTACCTGTGGAAGGGGGCAGTTGATTTGTTAAGGTCACTTTGTTCCCAATATTCTTTGCAAGCAAGGCCTGAATAGGTTTGGTCCCTTTCTGGAGAGTAGACACTGGTGTTGAATCCAATGAGGCAAACGACTCTGGAAACAGTGGCTCTGTATGCTTTGATTCATTCAAACAGTCCATCTGCACATCACCTTCTACATTCTCAACCACTGTCTCATTTGTGCTTAACTTAGCTTTCTTCCTTGGGGAAAGCTCTTTTGTGCTATCATCCAGGTAACTAATTTGCTTGGACTGTCGTTTAAGTGTTTTAGGCAGTGTCTTTAGATCTTTAGAAGGCAATTCCTTTTTCAACAACTTACTTCTGGCCATAGGAAAATCTATTTCTGACAATTTCATATCATCTGAAAATGATAAAAACAAGCATTTTGTTTATTTAACACAACTGAATAGCAATGATAGCATCAATTATAAAAAAGAAAGTCAATCTTTGAACCAGCAATTTATTAAAAAACTGTAGTGTGATTCAAAAGTCTCAGTACCATTGACGGAAATTAAGGTAAGGAGACCTTTGACTTGGTAATCCTGATATTGTAACCATTCCCAAGAACAACATATTATTAATGAGGAAATTATTTTTGGTCAGATTCTGCTGCCAATACAAGTATAAAAGGAAACTTTACAACTTGAGATACTCAAGCCAGCAATTAGGGCTCAGAATTTAGAGTAGACTAGTACTCACTAGTCTACTTCTCTCCTTCTAGACAGAGAAATCTTCATATCAAAGAGAGATGTTTCTCCCTATTTTCTTTTCTTTAGAGAGAGACTCTAAAGAATAAAAAACATTCATTTTTTCCTGCTGTTCAATTATTCCTACAGTAAAAAATTTATGTTCATATCTGGTCAAACTGGGCTGATGAGAAGTTATACCTTTTCAATTCACCAAAGACATGAAATGTAATAGGTTAATACATTTCTAAGCACAAATTTTCATACCTATTAGATAACTAAGTAAAGTTATTTAACTGGATTTACAGAATAATATAATCTGACAAACTGAAAGGAATTAAAGATAATCTTATCCAGCCTCCTTATCAGAATGAGGTGTCCACTCTAGTCTCATTAGGTCATCAACGTAAAAAACAAAAACCACTTCACAATTATTCAAGACTTGCCAAGTTTCATTTAAGCAAACCCCAGATATATTGTTTCAAAAATAATAATAAAAAGAAGAGGGTACACCTATTTCAAAGGGATTGTATATTAACGATGTGTGGTCTCTACTGAGCAATAACATGCCTATAGTTTGGAGTCAGATACTGGTTCCAGAAACTCCTAGAACAGTAATAATGACTCCAAAGAACCTTTAATAAGACATTAGCACACCTTCAAACATAATAGATTTCCCCAATCAATAAACATCATTAACCAGACTATCTTCTATCTCCACAAAAGACTAAAATTTCTCTTTGTGCTTGTAGTGTTGATTTAGAGAAAGTTTGAATGCCTACCTGAATCAAAATGATCCTTCTCCAGGATATCTAGAGGTTCTGTGGTGTCTATAGATTTGCTACTGATTTCTACTTTAGGGGTTTCTCTTCCAGGATCTCCTTCACCTTCTTCACTAGTCCACAGTTCTCTAGCAAATTTATCATGATCAGGCTGTCTTCTAAAGTCATCATAGTCTTTCTTTAGGCGACTCCTGAAATAAAATATTCAGCATAAAAATACATATGTGTTAATCTCTTGGAAGCTAAAGTAACTCAACATTTCAAACTATTTATTTCAGTATTTTCAATTAAGTCACTAAACCTATATCTTAATCAAGTGTGTGCAAGATTTTTTTAGAGAGAGACTCTAAAGAATAAAAAACATTCATTTTTTTCTGCTGTTCAATTATTCCTGCTGTCCAATTAATCCAATGATGATTGTTCAAGAAGACACAACAGGGTATAGGCATAGGAAACTTAAAGACTGTATCTGTAAAGTATTTGCACATACCACCCACTGTCATTCTAAAGGCTACTGGGAGACCTATTAAATGTGAAAATGTGAAAAAGATTAACTTTTTTTTCTAACTGCACTGACAGAAATAGACTTGAAATAGTCTTAAAATTCATTATAATATTGTTTAAAAGGTCACTTAAAAGTGTTAATCAAAAAATTCTAAGAAACAGTATCTATTATTTTTGATTCCTGCAAGGAGTAACAACAAAAATAATCCTTTGTTTAATACTGAAAGCAATCCTATCTAAACCTTAGGTCTCACTAGAATTTTTTTTTAAATTAAGTATAGGGAAACAAAGCTGGAAAGTGATTTTTCACATAAAAACATAGTACTTACGTTTCTATGACATTACAATAGATAGTAACATTTCCAAGTGATTGCATGGTATTTTAGAAATCCTTTATTATTCATCTGCTTTCAATTGAGTTTCTCTATTCTTCTTTAACCTCTGTTCATTTTGTTTGTTGAAAAAAATCTGAACATACATTCTCCAATTTACTTTTTCTACAAATCCCTATCTGTGCATACCGGAGTATAATCTCACCTCTGTCACTTAACAGTTTTAAGACTTTGGACAAGTTTCTTAAACTTTCTAAGCATCAGTTTACTTCTGTGTACAAAGATACAAAGATACTTATAGTATGTGTGGCACATAAATATTTAACAAATGTTAGTTAATAATTACTCTCAATTTATTTATGTTTCAATGATTGCTTAAGGGTTTTACAGAGCAGATGATAGCTATAAGATAACAGACTGGATTATCAAAGGATAACTAAATTTAATTTCATTTTAGAACTATCTAAATGGGGATAGTACAAAGTTTCTCCCTTCTCAGTCTTCTTCTCACCTTGGCTAAAGACTTTGCTCCTTATTTCACAGAAAATGGAAGAAGCAATCAGACAAGAACTTTCATATGCTCACATCTTGTCTGCAACTTAAAACCTTCATCTGTACTCATATTTTCCATCTAACCCCCTCATATTCTCTAAGCTAACCCCTCCACAACTTATGCATCCTCCCTCAACAAGTCAAGAATCTCCAAAGTACCTTCCATTGTCTGATCCATTTCTGCCTCTCTATTTGATCATTTCCGCCAGTATACACACATGTTATTTCTCCCAGGAAGAAAAACAAACAAGGACAAAACTAAAGAACTCTCTCTTGACTCCAACTTGTCCTTCCAGGTACTGCCCTATTTCTCTGCTCTCCTTTTACAGAAAAACTCCAATTCCTTACCCCTCATTCTCTTCAAAAGACGAAGACTTTTACCCTCATTTTCCTCAGTTCATCATGAGCAGTTTCCTTTTTGAAACTTTTTACCTGTTTCTAAGACATCACTATTTCTCTTGGTTATGCTCCTATCTTGCTGAATACTCCTCCTCAGTCTCTTCTGCTGAGTCCTACCATCTCCACCACATCTAAACGCTGGAATGTCCCAGGGTTCAGTCTCTCTTAACTGTGTTCATACACTAGGTGACTTCTATTATCTCACAGCTTAAGTATAATCTATATCCTGACAACCCCCAAATTTATACCTTCAGTCTGACTTACTCCCCTGAATTGCTACTCATACACTAAACTGCTTATTCAGTATCTCCAATTAGATGGCTGAAAGGCATATCAAACTTAATATGTTGAAATCCTAAATCCTCAATCCATCCCCTCCCCAAAATTCTTTGTTTCCTATCTCAACTAATGGCAATTTCATTATTCTAGCTGTTTAGATAAAAATATTGGGCACCACCTTTTTCTCATTTTTTTCTGACACTCCATATGCAAGTCTTAAGGAAATTCCATCAGTCCTACTTTCAAGATATATCCAGAATTCAACTACTCTTTGCTGTTTGCATTGCTACTATTGTTGTCCAAGCCACTATCATTTTTCACCTGGACTACTTGCTAAGCGTAACTGATTTCCTGCCTGTATCTTTGTCCCACTCTAATTTCAACCAAGTAGGCAGAGGGAATGTTTTAAAAAAAGTCAGATCATGTAATTCCTCTGTTTAAAACCCTTCAAAGGCTTCTTGTCTCAGAGTAAAAGCCAAACTCCTTAAATTCCTATATGGTCTGGCTGTGTTGTTGTTCAGTCATTAAGTTATTTACAACTCTTCACTACCCATGGACTGCAGTGTGCCAGGCTCCTCTGTCCTCCACTATCTCCCAGAGTTTGCTCAAATTCATGTCCACTGAGTTGGTGATGCTATTTAACCATCTTATCCTCTGAAGCCCTGCTTCTGCTGAAGGTCCAATACTTTGGCCACCTGATGCAAAGAGCTGACTCACTGGAAAAGACGTGATCTGGCTGCCCTTCTCTGTATTTCTCTGACTCTAGACTCTTACCATTTCCCTCCTCATTCACTCAGCTTTGCTTATTCTCACCCCTTTGCATTTCCTATAAATGTCAAACATGCTTTCAACCTTAGAGCTTCTGCATCTTAAGATATCCACATGGTTCTCTTCCCTATTTCCTTCAGGTCTCTTCAAACACCAACTCATCAAGGAAACTTTACCCAACACCCTGTAAAAGAGCAATCATCATCCCATCTAAACCAAGCATTTCTTTCTTTTTTAAAAAGTATTTATTTATTTTTGGCTGTGTTGGGTCTTTGTTGCCGCACTTGGGCTTTCTCTAGTTATGGTGAGTGAGGGCTTTTTTCTACTTGTGATGCATGGGCTTCTCACTGCAGTGGCTTCTCTTGTTGAGAAGCATGGGCTCTAGGGTGTGCAGGCTTCAGTACTTGAAACACACGGGCCCTAGAGCGTGGCAGCTTCAATAGCTATGGCCCATGGGCTTCACTGCTCCAAAGCATGTGAAATCTTCCTGGACCAGGGATCAAACCTGTGTCCCCTGCACTGGCAGGTGGATTTTTAACCACTGGACCACCAGGGAAGTCCAAAACAAGCTTTTTTTTTTTTTTTTCCTGTATAGCACAGTGAACTATATTCAATATCCTGTGATAAACCATTATGAAAAAGACAAACAAGAATACAGTATATAGATGAGTCACTTTTCTGTATAGCAGAAATCAACACAACATTGTAAATCAACTGTACTTGAATAAAATACAAGTAAAACATTTTAATTATAGGATAATTGCTTTACAATATGGTGTTGGCTTCTGCCTTACATTAACATGAATCAACCATAGGTGTACATAAGTTCCTTTCCTCGTGAACCTCCCTCCCACCTCATCCCACCCCTCTAGTTGTCACAGAGCAACTGATTTGAGTTCCCTGCGTCATGCAGCACATTTCTACTGCCTATCTATTTTACATATTGTAATTTATATGCAAAACAAGTATATCTTATTCCCTTAAACCAGCTTCATTTTTCTTCATAGCACTTATCATCATCTGACATTTGAGTTTGTCTGAATAGACGTAACTAGTAAGGAGATTCAATCAACAACAACAACAAAATCTCTAGACATTTCTCCAAAGACAAATTGCCAACAAGCACTTAAAAAATGTACTCACTAATTATTAGGGAAGTGGAAATCCAAACTACAATATATACAATATATACATATATATTGTATACTGTATACATGTATACAATATACAAATTGTATATATTATACATACATGTATATTGTATATATACAATATATACATATACATAATACATGTTATCATACATATACATGTATATTGTATATATACAATATATACATATATATACAATATATATACAATATATACCACATTATACTCATTAGGATGGCTATTAAAAAACCAGAAAATAACAAATGCTGGTGAGGATGTGGAGAAACTGGAACTCTTGTACACTTATGATATACACTATAGAAAACAATATGATAGCTCCTCAAAAAATCAGGTTTATGATGTCTATCTTCTTTGTGAAATGTACCTTCTATCATTAAAAATATTCATCTTTGTTTCATTTAGAAAAAAATTAAAAGTAGAATACCATAGTTCACTTCTAGGTATACATCCCCAACATTTGAAAGCAAGGTCTTAGACATTTGTACACCCGTGTACACAGGAGCATTATTCATAATAACTAAAACATGAAAAGCCTCTCAAATGCCCATTACACATGAATGAATAAGTAAAATGTGGTATATGCATAAAGTGCAATATTCAGTTCAGTTGCTCAGTTGTGTCCGACTCTTTGTGACTCCATGGACTGCAGCGTGCCAGGCATCCCTGTCCATTACCAACTCCTGGAGTTTACGCAAACTCATGTCCATTGAGTCAGTAATGCCATCCAACCATCTGATCCTCTTTTGTCCCCTTCTCCTCCCGCCTTCAATCTTTCCCAGCATCAGTGTCTTTTCAAATGAGTCTTTTTTTTTTTTTAATTCAGTCTTTAAAAGGAAGTAAACTCTACAACATAGATGAACCTTGAAAACATTATGCTAAGTGAAATAAAGACAGTCACGAAAAGACAAATATTTTATATTATATGATGTACTTAGAGTAGTCAAAATCATAGACACAGAAAGTACAATGGTGGTTTCTAGGGGATGGGGGAAGGAAGATAACAGAGTTTCAGTTTCACAAGATGAAGAGTTCTGGAGATGGATGGGCTGAGAGAAACACACCATTATCAATGTTAAAAAAAGGCGGTAAAAAAAAGCAGTATTAAGTATACCACTGAACCATACACTTAAAACTAGTTAAGATGGTGAATTTTACTTGTGCATTTTACCACAATGAAAAAAACTGGGGGAAAAATAATATAAACCACACAGTAGGGGTTTTGTTTAATTAACATTACCTTGTCAGGACTTAGGAAGTGCCCTGCACACAGGCTCAAAAATATCTGAATTACAAATCAACGGGACACTACTAATTCTAGGACATCTTCCATAATCATAAAAGTAAGAGTGTTAAACTAAGTAAAACAGATAATAAAGCTTTATTTACCTGTTTCTTTGAAAAGCTTTCATTAACTTTGGTTCCCATGGCAATAATTCGTTTAAAAGACGTATCAATGTACTATGTAATTCTTTTACAGCTTGCCTCCGATGATACCATTTGCCCTAAAAACACAATTTGAAAAGTAAATCCTTTAGATTTAATCTAGAAGTCAACACCAAGACTTATTTTCTGAGTAAAATACAAAACAAAATGCAGATACCCGTCAAATAAGCACATCTCTCTTCTTCAGAAGGTTGCAGAAAGGAGAAAAATGTCCTATAATAAATCTTCTTTGATATACTTTAGAGATTTTCAACTATACAGGAGAAATCTAAAACCCATTTAATCAAACCAGGACATAAAAAGTTTTTTAAAGCTTTTAATTGAGTCAATTATAAATATTCAATAAATCACAAAAATGCATGTAAAGATACATTCACATAATTATGTAAATTATATGGCTCATTTCTGTAATGTTTCTGTAATTTTTCCAAAAGGCTGGGGGAAAAAAGAAAGAGAAAAACCCAAATTGTTTTCATGTCCAAAAGCAGTCCTCTTAACAAACTTCCTTAGGAAATTTTACAATTATTTTAAAATGTTTTAAAACATTTATTTTAAAATGTTTTAAAATGAAAAGCAAACAAGTGGTCACCATTTCCATTATTTTCATGCTATAATAGGTGATAACAATTTGACACCCCCCCATCTGCTAAGTATTATCCTAAGTATTTCATTCATACATGGAGAGAAAGAGACAGGGAGAGAGACAGGGAGAAAGAGATTGAGTGAGCATGAGTGTGTACACGAAATAGCAGTTACAAAAACCTTCTAAAGTGTGTGCATTTTTAGTCTGTCTTAACAAATGATGAAACTAAGGATCAGGGAGGTTAAATGACTTGTTTAAAGGCTCTCTGACTTAAACCTAGATCTGCCTGTTGGTGTAGTCCAAGTTCTAGAACTAGCTATATCACTACCTCTTAAAAACTGTATCACATAAATTCAGTCTGACACAGGTTACAAAAACCTCTAGCAAGATATATTTCACAGTACCCATAAAATTATCTGTATACCATAGGAACAATAAGATTATAGAAGTTATATCCTTAGGTAAGCAACTTCTCCACATCTATCAACATTACCACCACAATCACTATTATCATTTACTGTTATATAACCATGTTGTAATTTTTATTTGGTAAACAGCTTTGAGATATAATTTACATACCACACCGTCCACTCACTTTACTTCTTTTACAACAAAAACATACAAGTATATGTCACAGATCACATTTAACCTGTATAAAACTAGGTTTCATCCCACAGGAACTCTGAGTCATATTTGCATACAGGCAGAAAAATAACCACTCCCGAGAGTAAAGAATATACTAATCTGTGCATAAAATTCCCAACTTTGTGTCTTCTTAGCAGCATAACAACGGAGAAGGCAATGGCACCCCACTCCAGTACTCTTGCCTGGAAAATCCCATGGATGGAGGAGCCTAGTAGGCTGCGGTCCATGGGGTCACTAAGAGTCGGACACGACTGAGAGACTTCATTTTCACTTTTCACTTTAACACATTGGAGAAGGAAATGGCAACCCACTCCAGTGTTCTTGCTTGGAGAATCCCAGGGATGGGGGAGCCTGGTGGGCTGCCATCTATGGGATCACACAGAGTCGGACACGACTAAAGTGACTTAGCAGCAGCAGCAGCAGCAGCATAAGAAATGTATAGTATGTGAAAAAATTTTAAGAAAAGTTAATTTTTATTTCATATAATATACTAACCTGAACAGATATCTTGTCAAAAGCTTTCTAAAAGGATCCAACTAACAAGAAGTTATACCTCAAGTTATTTTTCTCAAAGGAATGTTATGGGGTAGTATAAAGCGCTTATTCTAACCCATGAAAGTGAAACTATTAGACTATGAACAATAAAATTGAGCCAAAAAATACTTTTAACCTATGGAAAGCTATCTGAGGAAGATGAAAAGGTAGATGATAGTCACCCTAAATCCTTTTTGGAATGAGGCAAGATTTTGTTTCAATAAAAAATAGAAAATAGGTAGATGGAGAAGACTTTTCCCTTTAACAAGGCATATTAACAACATTCCTTTTTCTACATCTCAACTTCTATTTGGTTCAAAAATGAAATGGTGAGTGTGGAAATAAACTTTACCTAAGCTAAAGAGGGAAAGTCGCTTAGTCATGTCCAACTCTTTGCAACCCTATGGACTATATAGTCCATGGAATTATACAGGCCAGAATACTGGAGAGGGTGTTTCCTTCTTCAGGGGATCTTCCCAACCCAGGTATTGAACCCAGGTCTCCCACATTGCAGGCAGATTTTTAACCAGCTGAGCCACCAGGAAGATGATGCCATTAAAAATGCTGCACTCAATATGCCAGGAAATTTGGAGAACTCAGCAGTGGTCACAGGACTGGAAAAGGTCAGCTTTCACTCCAATCCCAAAGAAAGGCAATGCCAAAGAATGTTCAAACTACTGCACAATTGCACTCATCTCACACGGTAGCAAAGTAATGCTCAAAATTCTCCAAGCCAGGCTTCAACACTACATGAACTGTGAACTTCCAGATGTTCAAGCTAGATTCAGAAAAGGCAGAGGAACCAGAGATCAAATTGCCAACATCCCTTGAATCATAGAAAAAGCAAGAGAGCTCCAGAAAAACATCTACTTCGGCTTTATTAACTACGCCAAAGGCTTTGACTGTGTGGATCACAATAAACTGTGGAAAATTCTTTAAGAGATGGGAATACCAGACAACCTAACCTGCCTCCTGAGAAATCTGTATACAGGTCAAGAAGCAACAGTTAGAATCAGACATGGAACAACAGACTGGTTCCAAATTGGGAAAGGAGTACCTCAAAGCTGTATATTTCACCCTGCTTATTTAACTTAAATGCAGAGTACATCATACAAAATGCCAGGCTGGATGAAGCACAAGCTGGAATCAAGATTTCCAGGAGAAATATCAATAACCTCAGATACACAGAAAATACTCACCCTTATAGCAGAAAGAGAAGAGGAACTAAAGAGCCTTTTGATGAAAATGAAAGAGAAGAATGAAAAAGTTGGCTTAAAACTCAACATTCAGAAAACTAAGATCATGGCATTTGGTCCCATCAGTTCATGGCAAATACATGGGGAAACAGTAGCAACAATGAGAGACTATTTTTGGGGGGCTCCAAAATCACTGCAGATGGTGACTGCAGCCGTGAAATTAAAAGATGCTTGCTCCTTGGAAGAAAAGCTATGACCAACCTAGACAGCATATTAAAAGGCAGAGACATTACTTTGCCAACAAAGGTCCATATAGTCAAAGCTATGGTTTTTCCAGTAGTCATGTATGGATGTGAGAGTTGGTTTGAGAGTTAGACCATAAAGAAAACTAAGTGCCAAAGAATTTATGCTTTTGAACTATGGTGTTGGAGAGGATTCTTGAGAGTCCCTTGGACTGCAAGGAGATCAAACCAGTCAGTCCTAAAGGAAATCAGTCCTGAATATTCATTGGAAGGACTGATGCTGAAGCTCAAACTCCAATACTCTGGCTACCTGAGGCGAAGAACTGACTCATTGGAAAAGACCCTGATGCTGGGAAAGACTGAAGGCAGGAGAAGGGGACGGCAGAGGAGAAGATGGTTGGATGGCATCACCAACTAGATGGATATGAATCTGAGAAAGCTCCCTGAGTTGGTGATGGACAGGGAGGCCTGTCGTCCTCAAGTCCATGGGGTCACAAAGAGTCAGATATGACTGAGCAATTGAACTAAACTGAACTGAAGCTAAGGAGAGCAGAAAGAGGGAAGATACAAGGAATGAAGCAGGGGAGAATATGCTCTTCCTGGTCCAATTAAGTGGAAAAGAGTTAAAAGACTAGCGGGTGCCAACATGCTGAATTCCTTATTGTGCGTGCAAGCTAAGTCACTTCAGTTGTGTCAGATTGTCTGCGACTCTATGAACTGTATAGCCCACCAGGCTCCTCTGTCCATGAGATTCTCTAGGCAAGAATACTGGAGTGGACAGCCATGCCTTCCCCCAGTTATTAACTGGGAATTAATATGAAGAAGAATGACAGATTTCAGTTAACCCAGGCAGTATGGTTGCTGGGTAAGTTAGCATAGTGGTGGTGGAGTAGAGAATACAGAACTAACAGAATTGCAGGATGTTCAGCACTAGGTAGTTGAGACACATGAAGTAGAGACTGTGTAACTGGATACTATTTAAAGACATTTATCAGCTGTTTGTGCCTTGATTAAATTACAATATTAATTTTTATAGGAAAGAATTTGAAACATATTAGGAAGACTTTACATGTTGATTTTATTTTGGTTACTAAATTTTAATTAATCTAATGCCCAGAAAATATATGACTGAACTAACAGCACACAGGGAAGGGGTCATATAAATTCAATAGAGAACAGCGTTCTAACTTTCGTATAATTCTGTTTCACCCCCTGACCTGTTTGTAAATGTCTAAAGCCTTTTAACTTTATATATTTTTTTGGTCTTTCTTCCCTTTCTTTATTCTACATATTTGCAACTTGGGGTAGTGATGGTGTGGCTACTAATTTATATTTGAAAATGCCTATTTAATCACTCTGTATTTGAAAAAGAGTTTACTATTTTCATAACACAAGTTACAGAAAGTAAAGGCTGATAAAATTTTTGACTAGAAGAAGATACACATAAAGGATATAATGACCTCAACAAAAGGGCATCCCTATACCTGCCATGGGATATGTGTGTTATCGATCAAAAGGTGGGACATGTTTAAAAAAAAATTCAGACTCACTGCTCTGGGACTGGTGTTTGATGCAGTAATGTACTTTAATCACTTGACAGTAAAAGAGAAACTCACACTGCTTTTTTCATTTATTATCTTATTTGGTCAATATAACCCAAATGGATTTAAAATAGTATGTTCTTTTCTACCCAGTGCTGATCTAAAGAGCATCACAGTATACAGTGGAACTAATGTAGAGAAGTTATGAATAAAGTTAGCCAAATGGTAATAATCTGACTTAACTTAGATCTAATATAAAACAAAAATCTATTTAAAATCAAACAAGTATTTCCTGAACCTTCAATCAGATTAACTGAA